CTTTTACTGGGCGGGCTGGGCTAATTTCTTGCAGAAAGCTTTGGAAATTAAGCTGAGGGCTGTATGAAATTGACCTCAGGGTCACCTGCAAGCCTTAAGACTCCAAGTTGCCTCTCCCAGCCTCGGGCTATTCATTAGCAACCTAGTGTTCCTGATGCTTCGTCAAGAATCCCGCTTTTCCGAGTGGAAATAACGAAGCAGAAACATTTAATATTGGCCAATCCAAAGCAACTTTTGCCTTTCGTGATGGAATCTTCGGAGGATACCTACGACAGCCTTCATTTGGGTCATCCGGTGAGTGTTGTTTCGGCAGGCAGGAGCTGCTACCAAAGGGATTCATTCATATCTGCCTAGTCAGGGACTTCATTACATTCTTTTTCCTGCAGTACTGATAGGACAACTTCACTAAAAGCTGTCCGATCTATGAAGAACGTTTGTCAATGAACTGCATATCAAGTAACAGTAATATCTGTTTGGTTCAAAGCAAGTGGAAATTTATAAGAGAGAAGGATAAGGATGATAAGGACATGGATAAGGATAACAATGGAGTGGAGAGGAATAGGAATTGGAATGGCTGGAAGGGACCTTGAAGATCTTCTAGTCCAACCCCGTACTTGAACAAGAGACCTTATACCATTCTGTCCAATATCATCTTAAAAACCTCCAGTGATGGAACTCCCCAAAGATGACAAACCCTCTGTAGTTGAAGCAATGATTTATTAGGAGTGCCGGAAACCCTCTGTCACCGCAGGCTAACAAGTCTGTCCAACAGGGAGATGAATAGTGGTCTACCACATCTATTCATCTCGGCCCCCTGCCTTTTAGAGTGAGGGCGGAGCTTTGCTAGCAGCGGTGGCTCTTCCATCCCAAGGACCGGCCCATAGATTTCCACTGCTCTCCTCTCCTCTGCCTTCTGCGCATCCACGCATCAGGCACTGGACCCAGCTGTTCCTCCTCTTCCTCATCAGCCACCTCCAGACCTGGGGGCTGTTAACTCTCCATCTGAGGGCTGAGGGAGGGCCCAGGCTCCGCCTCTCTCTCTCTCTCTCTTTGCCAGTTCCATTCCCTCTTCCCCCTCTCTACGATTTATGCTGACCCTGACTCCCACACCTCCTCCTCCGCCTCTGATTCGCCTGCTTGGAGGAGCCGGTGGGCAATAAGCCACAACAAAGATAAGGTGATAGGTAATAGGGAAGATGAGAATAATGATGGTAATACTTCCTTTCTAGATAGTTTGACAGTGTTGTGGAAATTAGTTGTTTAGCAGAGTGGTGGCATGCAGGGAAAATTGTCCGTGTCTCGTTGTTTTGACGTATAGTGTCGTTTTGAGAAGTTGAAATACTTTATGTCCAGGATGCGAGGAGGGTCTGTAGATATTTTCACAGCCCTCTTCCTTGCTCGTGCAGTATATGGGTCCTCAACGGAAGGCATGACCCTAGGACAGTGCAACCGTCACCAATACAAGCCAGTTGCCAAGTGTCTTAAATTTTGATCATGTGACCTGGGGGGGATGCTAACACAGCTAAGTGTGAAAAAGGCTATAAGTCCCTTTTTTCAGTGCCCTCGTCTCTTCCAATGGCTACTAAAGGAGTGATTGTAAGTCGAGAACTTCCTGTACAGCCTTCAGCCAACTCAAACAAGGGTCTGAATAACCTGGCCAACCTTTGCTTCCGGGATCTGTTCGATGCAGACGCCAAGAGAGGAATCCGGGACCAGGCATGGGTTCTGGGATTCTGCGAAAGGTCCTTCCCGCATCCCTAATGCTTGCTCATTCATAATTTACTTCGGTTTCTCCCATTCCCGCTCCACCGTTACAAAATAGGAGAGGAAGAGAGAGACAGGAAGAAATCTCCTCCACAGGAAGTACTAAAGAAAGTTCCTCTTCATGCAAAATTAATGCGTGGGATCTGTTACCAGAAAATGAGGTGAGGCTTTTTAAAAAAGGAATTAAGAGAAAAAAAGAGATGACTGTCAATGGCAATTAAGTAATGAAGATTATGTAGAGCCTCCAGACTGAAAGAACTGCTATCCAACCAGATTCTGTTAGCAGCGGCTTCTTGGCCCTGGTGGGACGACCTATTGATGGTCAAAAGTGAGTTAGGCTGAGAGTGACTGGCCCAAAATCACCCAGCTGGCTTTCGTACCCGAGGCGGGACTAGAACTCACCATCTCCTGGTGATTCGCCCAGTCATCCAGCCGGCTTTCACACCTTAGGCAGAACTATAACTCACCATCTCCTGGTTTCTAGCCTGGTGCCTTAACCACTAGACCAAACTAGCTCTATGCTAGCTTCAAAATATATTTCCTCCAAGGAAAGGGATTGTTTCCCTTTCACAAAGATTACGATTTTGACACATGTCTGCGCATTAGTAGAGTTTCTCAGTTCCATGTATTTATTTATTTTTGGTACTTTTTTGTAACTTCATCTGTATTTTCACCTGCTCTTTCGCATCGCTTTGAAATAAAAATAAAGCTATACCATTTAAGATGGCTGCAAGCCATAAATAAATAAATAAGGCCTCTTCTTTGTTGCTTTAAACACACAAGCTCACCTCATCATTGTACTGTGACTGTCGGCAAAAAAAGCATTAGGCCTTTTGGTCCACTCTTTTATTTCTTCAGAAAAAAAAAATTCAAGGAAAAGTGACTTTTTTCCAGGTACCTGATGCCCTCTTCTGGTGTAACACGAAGCTTCCTAGCTGACAGAAATTCGAGAGACAAGGATTACTATTTGGGTTGGCGCACGTCTAGCTTAATGAAAAGAAGGTCCAGGGGAGACATGATAGCAATGTTCCAATATCTCAGGGGATGCCCCAAAGAAGAGGGAGTCAAGCTCTTCTCCAAACACCTGAGGGCAGGACGAGAAGCAATGGGTGGAAACTAACCAAGGAGAGAAGCAACTTAGAACTGAGGAGAAATTTCCTGACAGTGAGAACGGTTTGCTTCCACAAGTTGTGCTTACTCCCAACACTGGAGGTTTTAAGAAGAGATTGGACAACCAAATGGCATACCCCCTGTGATGACCCAGGCTGGGGTACAAAACAAACACAATCCCAGAAAACAGGTGAAGCCCCTTTTATTCCTTCAATTTGATTCCAAGCTCCGAATATTTTTGATGGAAGACAAAAAAATTCCCACACAAACAGTTACACAAAGAGGGGAAAAAAGCAACACAAACCAGACAAGATAAGGGCTGGAGGAGGTCCACAGATAACACACACTGAGAAGGATGCCAAACTCAAGAAAGGAACTACCAACTAGAGATATTTACACGCTTTGTTTCCAGCGTTTGCCAGTACGCAGGTCCTTACAGTTATCACAGTTGTATCCCATGAAGAGGATCAAGGCCCTCTCCTCCTGAGTAGACCACATCTCTCCCTTATCCTCTCCTCCCTGCGTGCCCTAGGATGGATAGGGGACGGGCCTGGGTCCTCCTCTGACTGCTCAGCCAGCCTCTGCCCTTCCCCAGCCTCCTCCACCACCTCCGGAGCCACATTTCCACTCTGTGGGCTGTTCCTCCTCTCCCTCTGAGTCAGTCTCCACCAGGGGCATGACACCCCCTTGAGCAGGGGGTTGGACTACTAGAAGACCCCCAAGGTGCATTCCAGCTGTATTATTCTGTTATTCAATGCTTCTGTTGCATTTAATGGAATAACCCAACTCATTAGAGTGGCCAATGTATTTTCAAGGCAGTGTGGTGTTTCTTTATTTATCAAACATATAGAGCCGCTACTCATCTCACAAAGCAAGGGACTCTGGGCAGTATACAATGGAACTAAAACAATAAAAATACACAAACTGTATTTTTGTGTTGGGCAGTTAATTTATTCTACCGGTTGCTTCTGGGTATGAGAACCACACCGTTTTGAGGCACCTCTTTCAAAGTTACGCAACAGGCAGAAAATCCCAGAATAGGTCCAGGAATTGTGAGTCTGCTCTTCTTTCGTGCGATGTTTAGATCTGCTTCTATGCAAGAGATTCTTTTTATGATGTTAACGGATTTGGGGTTTTAGAACAGACATACTTTTAGATTATCTCTAGCTTTGGGGCTGCCCTTTTGTCATTTGATGATTACCCCTCCTGTTGTAACAGGAGATGTTACTTTTAATGTTGGAAAAGCAATATTTCACCACATGCTGTTCTTTAATACGTTTGTTAAACAGCACTTCAAAGAAGGCAGCAAAAAAAGAGTAACTTGGATGACTAAACTGGTGCCCCAATCTGTACAGGTAGTCCTCGACTTACAGTTCATTGAGCAACTGTTCAAAGTTACGATGGCACAGAACAAAGTGACTTATGACCATTTTTCACACTTACGACCATTGCACACCCCCGGGGTTACACGATCAAAATTCAGATCGGCAACCGGCGTGCATCTATTTTTGCAGCGTCCCAGGATCACATGATCCCCTTTTGCAACCCTTTGAAAACAAAGATCCACTTATAATTGAACAACTGCAGTGATTCTCTGTAGCAAGAAAGGCCGTAAAATGAGGCCAAACTCACTTAACCGATATCTCATGCGTAGCAACAGAAATTCTGGCCTCGATGATGTAAGTTGAAGACTACCTGTACCATAAGGATAGCGTGGAATTTAGAACCATTTCGGGAAGCGCACGATTACCTGAAAGTCTGTGTCAGAACCACTCCACCTTCCGGCATCTTATTTAAGCGTAACGGAAAGTGTAAAAATCAGTTCTTGTTATTCTCCTATGCAAATCACTGAGATGATTTGGATTACTTAAATTGGGGCAGTTAGGAAGGATGCAAAAGAATATCAGCTTGATTTGAGGAGCAACTGACATCAAGGAACAAATTTGGAACATCATGTTATGCACGTAGCTTGCTAAGTACGGCTTAATGTGCAATGCTGGCTTTGTGTGTATTGTGGTTTATTCTTAACTATGGCATATTCAACAAAAAGTGTTATAATAGACAAAATAGTTAAACAATCCTCTTTACTTAAGTGGTATGTGAATCACAAAGAGATCGGAAAAGGGTCCTGTGGAAATAAGTCATTTATTTCGAACAACATTGATTTTAGAGAACAGGTTAACATTGGCAATCTACAATATCCATCGTCTACAAATATCTATGTTGTGTTAAGTAAAAAAAAAAAGTTCTTAGGAATGTGTACAACAGAAAATATGCATTTAATGTGGCCGGGAGTGTAACATACATTTGTCAAACTCGGCTTTATCTTAAAAAGAGAAATGCTGCCATCTAGGACAACGCTTTGTTTTAATTCCTTATTAGTCCAGGCGTCCTCTCAAGCCAGGAACTTTGGTTTAAGGGCCCATGGATGCTGGGTGGGTCTTGGATGAGCAGCTGTGAAAAGAAGAATAGGAAGATTGACACTTCTTCCCATGTTTAACTCACAAGGTCCTTCAAACAAGAGCTGGCTGGCTTTAGGGCAGAGGTGGGCAACTATGGCCCCTTTATGACTTGTGGACTTCAACTCCCAAAATTCCTAGCATGGCTTGCTCAGGAATTCTGGGAGTTGAAGTCCATAATTCATAAAAGGGCCATAGTTGCCCTCCCCTGCTTTAGGGCATGGTGCTCTTATGCTTCTTTGAAAGGACACTCATCAAGAGATGAAAAGAATATATTATTTTGTCTTATTATTGCAGATAGGATAAAACTCTTTTTGTTTTCTGCTTTTCCTCTAGACCATAGAACATTCTTATTTATTTATAATGCAGCTTTTGTTAATTTTTATAAATAACTCAAGGTGGCGAACACAGATATTATTACTCTTTCCTCCTATTTTCCCCCGCAACAACCCCCCTGTGAGGTAGATGGCACTGAGTGTGACTGACCCAAAGCCACCCAGCTGGCTTTCCTCCTTAAGGTAGGACTAGAACTCACAGCCTCCTGATGACTGGCCTAAAGCCACCTAGCTAGTTGTCCTATCTAAGGCAGGATTAGACCTCCCAGTGTCATTTCAACTGGGGCAAGGTGCAAAGATGGGAAAAGTGTGTCGACTAACCAGGCTCGTCCTATTAGCTACGCCACAAGAGGATTCGCCATTTGAATCCAGCTTATATGTGTATTATTATTATAATCAGGGCTTTTCGCTTAGCCTCACGGCTAACCAAGGCATTAAGGCGGAGTCAACCAACCTTGACGAAGTTCAGGTGTGAATCCAGCCACAGAGTAGAAGACAGTCTCACCTGGGAAGTCTGCAGGAGAGGGGAGGAGAGAGAACTCAAACTACTGTGAGTTGGGCAAGGGATGCATTCAAAAACACTGGCAGATGAGAGGGGGTTTAGGGGACGGATTTAAAAATTTTTTTTTTTTGCTAAGGGACAGCTACTTCAAAACCAGTTGGCATTCAAAAGAAGCCTTCTTAGCCAAGTGATGGGATGGTGAAATGCAGGTCCAGCCTGCTGCCTTTGTTACTATGCAGACAAGAATGGAAGAAACGGCTACTAATGCAAAACAACAACAACCCATCTTCTTTCAGACTTAGGCACGAAGCGTCACCCAGATTTGGCCGGCTCTCACCTGTAGGTAGGTGTAGGTAGCAGGCCAGGTCTGCCCCCGAGCAAGGGTCGCTTTGCAGGGGCGTTTGGAGGAGCCAGGTGCATCGGTCTTTTGATGACCTTTGTGAGAAGAGGTGGAGGTTTCCCCGTCGGGCCAGCTACCAGTGCTAGGAAGGAAAAACAGAAAACAGGATTTTGATACAGTGGCACCTCAGTGCTATCAGCTCTGAAGATGGCCTGACTGGGGCCACCTTTGAGGCTTCAGTGTTGCCACAATGGAGATGACCACAACCCAGCATCCACCTGTTACAGGTATCCAGGCAACTGGTCCTTTTTGAATCCAATGACAATAAGCAGACCAATGAATAAAGAAAGTGTAGCTTTATTAATTAACTCAAGCAAACAAATTTAAAAGCCTAACGCAGAAAGCATAGATACCAAGCAAGATATCAGGAGCTCCTTAAAAACAATAGCAGAGATGCTTCAAGAATGGCCAGTTTCCACAGCACCCCACAGCTAGGATCTGTTCAGAAGCCCCACCCCCCACCCCAATATATCCAACATGCCTTCTTCCTCCTCCTATTCTTCGCACAGCACCCACCCGGTGAGATAGGTTGGGTGAGAACGAGTGACCGGCCCAAAGTCATCCAGCTGAGTTTCATGTCTAAGAAGGGACTACAGCAGGGGTGTCCAACCTTGGCAACTTTAAGACTTGTGGACTTCAACTCCCAGAGTTCCTCAGCCAGCTGAGGAACTCTGGGATTTGAAGTCCACAAGTCTTAAAGTTGCCAAGGTTGGACACCCCTGGACTACAGTCTCCTGCTTCCTAACCCAGGTGTTTTAACCACTACTTAGCAAACAAGAGTGGAAAACAAGAAAATTAGCTCAGAATGAGCTCTAAATATTGACATTTTTCTTAGTATGAACGAGAATGGAGTGGAATGTGAATAGAAACAGAACAGGTTCTTTATTGGCCAAGTGTGATTGGAAACATCAGGAATTTGTCTCCGCTGCATAAACTCTCAGCATACAAACAACAAAGTGATAAATCATAAGATAACGAATAGAAGGCAAGAGGAAAGACGAGAAGGATAACAGTAATACAGCCCTACTACATGGGTTTAATATCCTTAGGATGAGGATATTTAATAGGATAAATCCAAATAGGTCACTAAACTCTCAAAGCAACAGTGGCCTTCCATGCCGCCACTACAATGTTGTATTTGGATGGACCAACCTGGAGTTGGAAGAAGAGCCCCTGACGGTCTTTTGCCCAACAAAGCTGGCTTAGGTGAGGGCGCAGCAGACTGGCCTAAGACAGAAGTTCGACCAGGGGTTGGCAGCAGAGGTGGTGGCTTGCTCAGCGTCGGAGGGAGAGCGCTCCCGCTTGGCCTGGCATTTGGATACTCGCCGTCTTCACCTGGGGTGGCTAAAGTGTTCGTTTCTGCAAGAAAACCTGGATTAGAAGGGCCCAAAGCTAGCAAGGAAACAACCCATTAGCAAAAACGAGCCGCTAAGCCAAGAAGTCAGCCTGGCTGCTTGTTTCAATGTCCTCTCTTTCTCACCCAGTTCATTTTATGCAGGGATAAACAAGGCTTAGGAAATTTTAAGGACGTGAGGTGGGAAAAGTCATTTTTATAGGAGTCATAGAAGTCATGATTTGAAGCAGTAAATTGGTAGAGTTATTGGCTTTTATAATATAAAGCAGTTGGGGGAGGAGTCTATTCTTTTTTTTTTCCCGCGAGTGTTACATATTTCTTTTTCACTTGCTCTAGTTATACCTCGTAACGGCCTTTCACCATGTGAAACGTGAACGTTATTGGACGGCGGTACAGAGGCGAAGGGGGGGGGGTTACGTTTTTATTACGACAGCCGGATGAAAACAACTTTTGGGGGGACGACACCAATTTGGGGCTCATCGATAGGTGGCTTCGTGGTCTCCTAAAATGGGGAGAGGCTCTCCAACCTGAGCCATGATAGGGTGGACAATATTTTTGCCTTTTTTTTTAATCATTAAAAGAGCCATATATCTCAGGCACTCAGGACCGCTGGCATTTCTCCTAATGCCCCCAGGAATAGCGGTGACAAGGTCCCGGCTCCCCTGGAAGGGACTTATTTGAAAGCGCAAAGAAAGGACAGATGTTAAGGAATCCGGGGTAAGGATGAGCTGGGGGGACAGAGGCAGACAACCTTGGGGGAATCCATCTTAAGTAGCCACCCTGGAGAAAGAGCCATGACCTTCCAGATAACGGGTTATCAACCTGCAGCCCTTCTCGAGCCAGTCTCATTTTTAACCATGTTAGTGTTCATGCACGAAGTGTGATTTATTTTTCTTCCCCGGGGTTCGAGGGAGGACGGGGCGTTTTCACGCTGGGTATTTTCTGATTTGAAGGGGGGGGACCCCGCCCCCAAGAGGTTATCCTGAGATTATGGGTGGGATTTAAAGGGTACTGTCGAGGGAGGGAGGAGGGGTTGGGGGAACATGAATACCTTCAAGCTTATTTCTCCTGGTCTTCAGGTAGTCACTTATTGAGTTCAATTCTTCCACATATAAATGCTTTCCCTCACTTAAAAGAAAGAGGAGGTGTCTAATGCCTAGAGGCACATGGTAACTCTCATAAAGCTCCCGTTCTAGAAAGCCATCCGCCAGATCAGCCGCTTTGTGGGAAATCTCTGTGCGCTGCTGTTGTTCATGCTCAGCAAAAATTTCCTCAAACTCTTTAGCTATCAGAGCCAGGGCATCTTCCATGGGCATATTACGGTGGACTACAGAGAAGAGAGACACCTTGCTTTTTAAAAAGTCACATCCAGACCAAAAACAAAACAAAAAACCCCAAACACCAAACCGCCGTGTCCTTCCACCATTCCGACTGCGGCACTAAAACGCTTACTTTTGGACTCAAAACGCCACACTTTGAATGGAATGAAAAAGAATGGATTTAATCGGGGCCTCTGTCGGATACCCCGGCAGTGGTTATGTCCAAGATTCAACACAAACACAAACCGTTTCTATTAAATGTCGTGGGTGACTCAACTCGGCGCTTGCTTTTCTGTGTGCTGAATTGATTTCCTAAGGGGGACCAGTTTTATAAAAACCACCTCTGGAAAGAGGAAGGGAGTGGAGATGTGACTGACACTGACATGTTCTTTTTAAATGCAGGGGAAAGGCCTACTAACAAACAGTCCATTTTCCAGAAGGCAGATTTTGGATGAAGGACATTTTGCTAGGTGTATGTAGCGGTGTATGGCTAGGAATTCTTAACCAATTATTTTACTGCTGTTCTTTGGCATGTTCAATCATGCCTCAAAGAGAGATTGTTTTGATGTGCTTTAATATGAGGAGGAATGGATCTAGAGAGAGCATTTGCCGAACAGGGACCGGGTTCTTAAGGAAGCTAAACTTACTTTTGATAGTCTGATGAAGCATGATTACGGTGCATGAAGAAAGTGTTACATTAGATGGTTCGACAAGAACGCAAAATGGAGAACCATCATTTTTAACTTCCTGGAGGGCACGTGTAAGACCTGATTCAGAAGTAAGGTATATCATTTCCACCACAAGGCCATGATCCTGCAACCGATGGCCTATGACTGTTGAATATTCCCTTGAAGGAAAAAACAAACAAAAGAAAAAAGAAAAAAAAGAAAAAGAAAAAAGCAAAACAAAGAAGCAGGTTATTTTACAGGCAATTCAGAAAATATATTATTAGTGCCAGTGTGCTAGCAAGGGTCATTGTTGCGCGCGGCAAGAAAGCTCACTGAAAATATTCGGTCAGATAGATTTAACGGTGTGCTCTTCTGCCGAGTTGCCTGAAACAGAGGGGTCCTTGCTTTATGAAATGTAGATTTAAGCAGTCATAAAACTTCCAGGCATACAGAGAAGAACCTCAATGTGGGCCAGGCATTTCCCAACTGAAATGCTTACAGAACAATTGAGGTTAAATTTGTAACAAAAAAGGAGAACGGATTGGGCCATAGAGCGTCTTTACGTCTTATGATCTAAGACTTTGACCTCTGCAGACAGTGATGTTCATCAATAGGGTATCCTGCAGACATGATTTTCGGAGAGTGACAGGCTGGAGAAACCAGGTCTCTACACCTACATTTATGTATGATAGGTGCAGAGGTTTGGGGCTGAACTTCCTCGGTGGGAAACACAAGATTTTCCCACAATATCAAAGTGAGTGGTGAAGCCCTTGTTTATATGAACTTCCACATTAATTAAGATCACTTGACCGGACTGGGTTGTAGCTATCTGGGCTTAAGTCTCACAAACACTTTGCGGTGATTGAATTGCGTAAGGACATAGAACGTTTAATGTTGCTTCCATTTCAACAACAATCGCAAGGGAACCTCAGGTGTGTATCCATGAGAAGCTGCTTAGTATTTGCGAATATTTGGTTAACGTATGTAAATGAGATTTTTTTTGCATATAAAGTGATCTTTAGAAATATGCACAAGTGGAAATTATTTAACAATGGCAAGTAGGACTCTCAAAGAACAGCCCAACAGAACCCTGCTTTCTTTTCTCAGATTTGTAATAGATTAAACAGGTGTGAAGGAGAAAATATTACACTGCAATTTTTTGAAAAACAAGCACCTTATTAAGATTTTATCAATGCTTTACATGTACTGGCACTTTTACAGAATTGCTTAATTCAACCAGGCTTTTATTATGGGTCATTCCATGTTCTTTCCGGACAGAAACTAACTTTTTTGAGACTGCAATTTTACTTTATGGAAAATTCCATAGGCATGGCTGCCCAAATTTATCTAATTAGATCTAACTTATCCAATTAGATGAAATGGCAGTCAACAATTTCAAGTAACTGGCAATTTTACCTATGCTTCATAGCCATTTTGTGCGCCATATTTTAGTAGACCCTTTCTGGAAGAAAAAAGATCTTTTTTTTTTTTTTAACCGAAATTTACAAAACACTTTTTGTATTTTGCCAAAACCAAAGATTTATTTTCAAAACTTATTCTAGGATATGAGAATATTTTTAAACAGTTGTATTAACATCTCATCTGAGGATACAAACATGTGAGACTAATTATGGACAAACAAATTTAGTGGTGATGTTTATAGAACCAGAAAGAAAAGGTGGCCAAATGTTTGGGGCTCTGAAGACTGCACGAAAAAGTTTAGCGTGAGATGAACAATAACCGCGTGCAGTTTATCTAGTATACTTGCTGTGACAAAAGCAAACAGATGACAAGGTAGAATTGTTTTATTCTCACTTTGACTGGATGGGAAACTGGAAAAAGATGACGGGAAGTATTTTACAAAAAACAATGCAGGTGTCATTTTGGCAATGTAGTATCAAGGAAAAATATAAGCAGGCCTATCACTCGTTCTTACAACGTTGCTAACGTCACAATATGACACAATCGATGAGAGCGATTCGTCCAAGTTATGGTGACAATTCATTTAGCAAAGATGTACAACAGCGACACTCCAAGAGAGACTGCTATTTACTATCAATAACGTGCTTGAGGTTGGGTGGAGAACAGCTTTCAGGGAATGTGTGAGAATATAAATTAAGAAGTCCTGGTTAAGGTCATGCTACGAGAATTGGAGGGAAATGACAAAAAGGGCGACAAAAGTTTAATCAAAGCACGTGAATTTTTTTTTATTGGAAAGTCTTCAAGGAAAAAAATAATCCTCAGAGCATTTTAGAGATGCTAAGCACTTCTGTGTGAAAATCTGCAAATTATTGGGGGGGGGGGGGGGGCTTTTTTCAGGAACTGCATAAGAGAAATAATCATTATTTCAAGTATCAAGGTGAAATGTTCAAATACCGAACGCTGAATTTAATGACTCTCGGTGAATTTTATGGCATTCAAAATCAACTGAAAGGAACGGAGAGGTGATGATGTGGGTAATAATTGTAAATTTCCATAGTGCCAACATCAAAATTATGCTTTTTTTTTCAATTGGCTTCATTTATGGACAGAGCTTAACCACAAATTTTCACCTTAAAGAATGCTCAGTACCTCTACCCACACTGCTTATGTTGATATTCAAGTTATATTTGGGCAAAGAAGAACAAGGGGCTGTATTAAAATGGTTTAAAAATACCAAATGATAATCCATACGTACGAGCAGTTCTAAAGGAGAGGCAGATCTTGATTTAAATGGATGTGGACGGGCGGGAAAATTCACAGATGTCTGTAAGATCTGAAGTTACTATGATAAATAGTTACCATGCTCCTTTTAAAGAGAACTCCTTGTTAACTAAAAGATACATGTAACAATCAGTACTAACTTACAACCATCCTACAAGAGCTACAACTACACAAATTAAGTCATAGTCCTACCACGCTCAATAGGACTGACGCCCAAGTTACAAGAGACAGAAGGAAATCAAAATATGTTACCATTTTAGTAGTTTCCCATTCATGGGAAACCAACGCCAAAAATGTAATATAGAGGGTCTAAAAGAGTGGGAATAATGGGGGCTGAGCCTATTTTACTGCTATTTTTATTCAACTCTCTAGATCGGGGTGGGCAAACTATGGCACCTTTATGACCTGTGAACTTGCAGAATTCTGGAAGTTGAAGTCCACAGGTCACAAAGGTGCCATAATTGCCAACCTAATGCTCTAGAGACTTATTCTGGGACAATTCTAATAACAGGCATTGATGAGGAAAATGTGGTGGGGTGGAGGGAAGTTTCCTCCATGCAAATGATGAGGCTACATTTAGAGATATATTTCTGTTGCTCGGTCATGCAGTGCAGACATGTACCGCCATCCTGGGTTTTTTTGGTCACTTCAGAAACAAAACAGGAAAATCAAGATCTCTAAAAAGAGTTAACCGTATTGCTAAAAGTGAAATTAAATGGGGAAGCATTTGCTCAAAGTTCAGTGAAGCATCAGCAACTGCGTCTTAAAAAAAAAGAGAAAAAAAAGACCTACGCTTGATCCTTGCTGATGGAAACGATGACACAGTCTGAAGGTCTTTCTCTGTTGTATTCCTTCTCTATCTGCTGGTAAAACTGCATGTACAACTTATCGCGATGAGCATCCTTGGTGTGGCTGTCATCTAAACATATAAGCAGATAATCAGACTGAGGAAGGGATGGATGGATGGATATAGGCAGACAGACAAAAGAGATAGCTTGATAGCTAGATAAGATAGATGGAAGGATGAAAGGACGGATGGATAGGTATATAGATACAGAGATATAGAGATAGCTTGATAAGATAGATAATAGAGATAGAAGAGATAGAGATAGAGATAGATTGATATAGACAGACAGATCAAAGCAGCAGTGAGGCTTAATACATATGTTCTTTCTTCAGTTAGATATGGTAAATTCAGTATCTGGGCAGGATTCAGAACTGGATTATAGGTGTCTTAGCTGTAATAGCAAGCAGTAGTAAAAGCTGGTTCCCACACAGATTAAAAAAATGGTTCTGTAAACAGCCAGCTTTAAGTTTCTTTGAAGCAAAAAACTTAATGAAAAGACTAATAGAAGGGACCATACGTGTCGCTCAGGGTTGAACTGTGGAGTCCTTGGTGTTCTCTGAGGTTGGTTGTTGGTTTTTGCAGACATGGTGAATGTGAGGATTAACACCAGACAAACAATCAAGCCATAAATACCCTACTCAAGCAACTACTAAAGTGACAAACGATTAAGCAGAGAATACCCTAATCGAGGAACTGCCAAGAGGAAAGCCACCCTTTGAACAACACTGGCAGGGCAAGCAAACTCCACACTCACCAGCACTGATGATGTTACCAAGTTGGGTATTGAAATGACCTTAAGCAAACAACCAAGCTCAGAGGGCCCTAAGGACTCCACAGAAAAGACCAATCTCCCTATTGGAAAGCTATGTGTTTGGGATAAATTGGTAGTAAACAGAAAAACGTTCAGTTGCTCCTTGGAGCTCTACCCCATTTGTTTCAATCAAACTTTACTGAAGAAAACTCTGCTTGGAAACAAATACTTCGGATATTTCTTTAACTATCAAGAGAACGCAACAGGACTGAAATGTAAAACTGAAACGAAAGGCATCTGGAGGAGCAAGCACATTCTTATTGCCACTTTAATTTCAAGTAACTCTTACCTTTCTGCGGGTACTGGTGTCTCTCATAATTAACTTCGTTCTCTGTTGGATGATACTGCTGCCCAAAAAGTTCTTCAAAGCTTTAAGCCCAAAACACACAAGAACTAGTGTTATCTCCCTTTTAAACAAAATGTCACAACCCTCAAGTTGAACCAATGCTAAGAACTGGCTTACATCAAAGAAGGTGTGGGACTGCATTGTTTCAGGGGTACAGAATAAATGCACAGTTATTTGATTCCATCCATTATTATTTGCCCTGTGCCGCTACTTCAGGTTATAACCAGTTTGTATGGAAGGGGAAAAGATCCTTCTCACCTGTTACCATCCTCATGATCCTTCGGATAACCGTCTGTGGGAGAGTAAGAACTCTTCTGAATGGATTTGTAAGGATTTATGCTAGAAGGAGCAAGATATGGGTGTTAAGGATTGCCGAAAGAATTTGAGCGTAATACATTTTTGGATTACATAATGGATTTGGAATCCAATTTTAGACTCTGCAGAGTAAGATCTGAAACATCTGTTATCTAGCAAAACATTGATGGGAGACATCAGAAACAACTTGTTGTTCTTGTTGTTAATTCAGAATTAACAAAGATCCCTGCAAAGAAATTAGACCCCCCCCCAAAACCCCATACATTCCAATTTCAACAAATTCCTGGGATGACATGAGAGCATCCAACATCACTGCATTGAAGAACTTTGTTATTACAAGCCATGATAATAGAAGAAATGAAAACGGGGGACAAGGGCATGGTGTGAAGTGGTGTGTGTATATATTACAAGAAAAACATGTCATATCTATCAATCTATCGATCAATCTACCTACTACCTACCTACCTATCTATCTTTTCTGTCTGTCTGTCTGTCTCTATCCATTCACCCACCCAAGAACTTTTTGTCATGCTGTTATGGGCAGATCTGGCTTTCAATAAACCGTAGAAATATTAATTTAATTACTTACTCCAGAAGTCGAGGAATCCACCCCGGTCTCTGCCTGGAACCAAAAAGAAAAGAACAATTAATGTATACTTAATTTAAAAGTAGTCACCGCCATTGTTAAAAAGTACTGATTTTTCTCTGAATGTGGACTGTATCTTTAAAAGGTTGGAGACAGACTGAACCTGGGCATTGTGAGGTACACCCATAGGTTCTCATGCTGCCACTTGATGGACCAGTTACCATTTCCGAGCAATCTTTATGGGCAGACCCAGGTAGAACACAGTGCAATGTCTCAAATGGGAGGTGGCCAAGGCATCGATGACCATGAGCAAGGCCTCGTGATCAAGGAACAGGCAGAGTTGGTGTACATGTAAGTGCGCAAGGACCAATTTAGTGCTCCTTTGTTGAGGGTCAGCTGCTGGTGAGAAGTTTTTGGGTTGCTGACTTTGCCATTTGTTCTTCTTTTCTTTGTCTGAGGCTGGTTTTACTGTTCTTTGTTTTGGTTACACTGTTTCTTAAATATTGTTTTGATATGTAGTGAACCATCCAAAGACATTTGGAGTTTGGTGACATTGGATCAAACAAAAAATAACATGCTAGACTGGCAAAGGGTTAAGAAAGGACTTTTCTAACCGTGTTACAGCATTAAAAGAAAATATATATATATATAAGCTGGAGTGATGATGAAAATTGCAGGGTGATTTAATTCCTTTAAACCAGACGCTGAGGAGCATTTTTAAAATCTCAAAATCGTACAACAGATAACGAAAGTTTTTGTTCTGCCAAATTTTCCCTCCTTTCAGATCAGCTAAACAATCTAATTACTCTAAACATTTTTGCTTAAGTTGATGGCTTTGGACTCACCAAGATACGGAGACAGAAACCAATTAAAACAAAACACACACAAAAACTCGCTGGCAGATGTAGAGTCTGGAAAGATCTGTCAAGGAGCAAAGGCAGCATAAGGACAACAGCTGCCTGGTCTTGCCTCATTTACTGTTAACTATTTCTTAGGCGCAGATAAAACTGAATTCGGTTACACTGATTAACTATGAATATGAGATGCAGCACATTAAACCCTTGAGCAAGATCGGAAGTGTGTAATGCCGACAAAGATACGAGCACAAAACCCAAGATTGGGTTTATTACAGCCAGATACTTTTGTGGATCTAAGTACAGTAAACAATTTCAATTATTTTTTTTAAAAAATCATTTCCGTTATACAGGTAGTCCTCAACTTATGACCACAATGGAGCCCAAAATTTATGTTGCTAAGTGAGAAATAATGTTGCCCCATTTGATGATTTTTCTTGCCACATTTGCTAAGCGAATCACTGCATTGTTAAATGAGTAACATGGTTGTTAAGTGAATCTGGTTTCCTCATTGAGTTTGCTTGTTAGAAGCTCGCAAAAAGTGATCACATGACCATGGGGATGCTGCAATGGTCATAAATGTGAGTCAAC